TCTCATGAATACAGCTGCTCCCCAGCTTAGGATGGGCGATATGGTCTATTAAATCCATCCTAAACTGAAAATACTATTAATTTGAAAATGCATTTAGCACACCTTCCTTACTGCATATCACAGCCTTCCCACCCACACGGCACTGGCTGTGTCCCCTCCTGGTCAGATGGCCGACTGACAGCCCTGACAGCAGTCACTGCCCCATTGCAAGACAGGAAGGGACCACAAATCATTGCCCAAGGATGCAAGATCATTACCCAAGGACGCAAGATCAAAGCTCAAAATCTGAACTACAGTTTCTTCCGCATGCATGGCGCTTCATACCGTCGCAAAGTACAACACTACATCAAAGCATCCTTGCTTTCGTTCATCAGGGTTTCCAAGAATGGATGTGAAACTCATACATTAGAATTTAGACGTACATGTTGTTGAGAGGAGAAGAAGATTGCCAGAGAGCTAAAGAATTTCCAATAAACCTTTCACTATGGCTCCTTCAAGGTCTAACTCAGATGCAACAGGAATCCAGACGAGGACAGGGATGAAAGTCCTCGTCCCTCCATTCAGGGCAGGGATGTCCGTGCCGGTCCCTCCCGGCTCACAGGCCACTGGATCCTTCATGGGGGTCAGGCAGATGGCTGAATGCAGGCCAAGTGGACGTGGCTGCCCCCAGCATGTCTAGAGGACATGAGCAGGATCTGTCCTGCCCACCCCACACAAGGAAGCAGTGCGGGGCAGGGGGACAGAGGGTGAGGGTTAAAGCTTGGAGTGAGCCACCCTTTCAGGCTCTGGCCACCTACATGGGTGGGTGAGTAGAGGCACCCGTGGAGCCCGCCGCAACAGATGGGAGGAGGAGGGCGAGGCATCCTCTTTTAGTTACTTCAAGAAAGGGGTTAATGGGTTCCAACTGACTCACTGGGAGCAGCTAGACACAATGAGGACAAGACACTCCCACAGCGAAAACCTCACAACACAAAGGTTGGCCTCATCTGTGAGAAGCAAGCAAGTACGGTATATTCTGGACAAGTAAGTGAAGATCTAAGCCTTGAGTTAATTCTCAGGGCCTCATCGAGCCAGAGGTCATGTGTTCGGGCACTGTTTATGGATGGGAAGCACAGCCGTGTTAACTGTCACCTGCATGGATGGATGTCCTCAGCCCCTTCTCTTACCCACCTGGCCACTGCTCAGCCACACTCCTTGGCCTCATGAAGTACAGGGTTCTTTATAGGATACTGGTTCTGCTCCCTAAGGACGCCAGGCCGAGGAGGGTACCCTCGGACCATGGTCTTCTGCCTGGAAAAGCCCCATGCTGCCAGCCCTCCAGAGCCCAGCAGACATAAGCAGGACACTGACACAAGCAGCACTTTGAAGACATGGCTTCCTCCTTGGTGCAGCTCTGTCCCTTGTAGAATTTCTGACAGTGGCCCGGCAAGAGGGGAGGCTACCACCTCAGGGACACTTCCTACTTACTTCCTACTTCAGTCTACTTCCTACTTCTGCCTCTGAAAAGCAAGAAAAAGCCCCACTAGAGCAAACCACTTGGGTCTTATATTACAAAGTAAGATTTTTAATACAGATTTGAAAAAGCCAAAGGAAACCAACAAGAACAGCAAAGACATTGCAAATAGTTATGGAACAACCTGGGATTTGAAGACCTTCAGGAACGTTCTTGCTCTTTCTTTGGTCCATGCTGGATCTGGCTGTAGACAGTGCTCTGACATGCGGGCAGCTGGGCCAGGTTTTCGGGCTGAAGCTAGGACCTCTCACATGGAGGGAGAGGCTCTGAGCTGCCTCTGAGTGGGGTCCACCCAGCACCCCACCTTCCACCATCCAGGAGCGGTCTCCTCCTGCGTTACTAGTTTTCTTACTCTGACTATCCTAGGTGCCTGCCTCAGCTGGCAGAACAGGTTCGTCCACTGCGGCTGGTGTCAGACTGCAGTAAGGAAAGTCTAATGATGGGCTTGTCGAGGGAGCTCTCCCAGCAGCCAGTAGGGAGTGAACTCCCTGATTCCCCTCATGTCATGGGTGCACTCAGCACCCCTGGGGCCTCTTCCACATTCCTCCCGCTCTCCAGGGAGCTCACTGCTGATGGTGCCCAGGAGATGGTGGTGACACGTCCTCCTGAGATGCAGCTGTGCTGCACAGATACATGGCTGGGACACACAGCAGCCACACCCAGACCACCTAGTACAGTGCCACATTCATGCTGTTGTTGTTATTGCTGTTGCGAGACAGGGTCTTGCCATGTTGCCCAGGCTGGTCCCCGCACTTTCTTGGGACAAGTGATCCTCCTGCCTCACTCTCCTGAGTTACTGGGATGACAGGCATGTACCACTGCACCCTTCAATCATGGGCTTTGAAAGAGTGAATCATTTTAAATACACCCAAAGAGAGGTTATGCAAATAGAAAAAAGTAGGGGTGTATGCGTGACAAAACATATTACCATATAGATTACAAAATGCTAACTATCCTTATGGAAAAATAGTAAAATACTTGTTTCATTAAAGTTTGAGTCTTCTTCTAAACTACTCTTGCAAGAACAGTAAGAATCTAGACATTTTAAAACACGTCATCTTCTAAGGATTTTTAGAAGACAGTTTCCCCCAACTAATTTAGGTATCATTGTTTTTTCTTCTGGCAAGCAATTTTCCTTAGCCAGAGCTGGGAGTTAGGTCTGCAACAGTCCTTCCCAAAATAAGGGGTGCTGAGCAGCCTGGCTCCCCCTGATCCTATGAAGTCTGGGAGAAAGTGAGAAGGAACAAACTGCCTCTGAAGACAGGAAACCATTCCAGGGGGACATGCTCAGAAAGGGCACCTGCCCCCCACCACACGCTGATATGTGCTAGAAAGACATCAAGGGGAAAGAAGCCAGAGAAATAAATTTGCCCCTGCATATAAGGACATGAGAGATGCCGATCAGATCCTACTTCTGAAGCATCAGATTCCATCTGATCCCAGAGAGAATGGACACCATCAAGAAATCAAACAATAACAAATGCTGGTGAGGCTATAGGGGAAAAGGAACCCTTCCACATTGTTGCTGGGAATAGAAACTAGTGAAAGCACTATGGAGATTCTTCAAAAACCTAACACTAGAAATTCCACTTGATCCAGCTATCCTCCCCTTCTAGATATTGTACTGAAAGAGTTCAAAACGCCATATCACAGTGATCCATGCATAACCATGTTTATAGACACACAATTCACAACAGCTAAATCTTGAAAGTATCAACAGATGAATAGACAAAGAAAATGTGGTGTTTACACACAATGGAGTATTATTCTTCCATAAAGAAGGATAAACTTAGGTCATTTGCAGGAGAATGGATGCAGCTTGAGACTATAATGTTAAGTGAAATAAATCAAACATAGTCTTAAGTATCACACGGTTTCTCTTATATGAGAAACTCAGGGTATAAATAGAGTAAAATAAAAGGTAGATAGATAATAGGAAGTAGGGAGATAGATGTTTTGCAAAATGGGAAGGAGATCAAGAGATGGAAGGGGGGAAAGGAGGCAAGGGAACAGGCATGAAAAAAGGAATTAAGGTGTGTTATGTACATGGACCAACTCCACACACGGAATGTAATCATTATGTACTGCAAACACGTGCTAATAAAAAATAAAACTTGCAATATTAATCTTATCGTAAATGTAATGCAAAACAGCAACAAACCAGTGGCATGTGTTCGTCGTAGAAAACATAAAGACTACAAATAAGCAAAGCACAGAGTCTGTAAACCCAACTCAGACACACTTCTGAGAGCTGCTTGTCCCCTGGCTGTGGCCTTGGGGTGCAGACAGATAGTTCCTGACCATGATGGTTCAACTTACAATTTTTTGACATTACAGCAGTACAAAACAATCAATCTGTTTTGTGTGTTCTGTACAATATTCAACAAATTATATGAGATATTATACCTCTGTTATAAAGTAATCTCTGTGCTAACTGACTTTGCCCAGCTGTGGCTACTGTAAGTGATCTGGGCATGTTTAAGGCAGCTGGGCAGGTGCATTAAATGTATTTTGAGCTTATGAAGTTTCCAATTTACAAGAGTTATTGAAACTTTCTAGATTTCTCTCTCAAGTTCTTTGGGTATATATCATGGAGAAAAGCACCATTTTCACAGTTGTGAGGATTAAGTGAGATTATTTCATAAAGCACTAAATTCACAGCCTGAGATGTACTAAGAGATTAGCAAATATGTATTGTTAGCAATAGTATCAATGATAGTCTATTGGTGTTAAAAGTAGTACAGTGCTCATGGAGAAATGTCAAAAATGTTCAAACTCAATGTGACTTCTATAGATTTATTTTAAGGAAATAAGCTGCAAACCCGTATAAAAAGATAGGAATGGGATGCTTTTGGAAACAGTGAACAGTTGGAAGCAACCCAAATTTCAAAGGAAAATAAGGGTTAGATCAACAATTTTCATATTATGTTCCCATATAAAATTATATTTTCACTTAATCACATGAACTAGGTGGCAATTTAGGTCAGCGCTACTGGTAAAAAGCTAGAAAAGAGCATAAAAATTTTATCTACCTTCTAAGTACAATAAAATTAAAACAAACTTCTTTAATCACAGAGAAACTGGAAAAGAATTCGCCCGGATGCTAGCTGTGTGTGTGCTTGGAGTGGTGGGAGTCTGCATAATTTTTTTTTCTTTCTTTTTTTTCTTTTTTCAATTTTGCTCTAATAAACAGGTATTACTTTTATAATGCTAAGACAAAACAAAATATCCATATTTGTAAAAGTCCAACATGATGTGAGGCCCCATTTCTTAAGATCTTTGAGTCCACAATAAATTTTGTACATGGCCCCTCCCTATTCAGAATTTAAGTGCAAATCCCAACATATATTTTATGATGAGAAAACACCAAATAATTGCCATTTTATTTCCTTTGGTTGAAGACACTTTGTTCTGATGTAGCCTAAACTCCCTGTAGGACAAGCATGGCCGCTTGTGCCCAGGCACACATCCCCAGGCACATCCTTACCATTGTGCGTCTCCATGGCGCGTTCTGGACACACAGCTGATCCCTCCGGCCCCACACACCAGTACATACTGGGTGGTTTCTGCGACATGCCAGCCATCAACCCTTGAGGCAGCTGATCTCCAAAGGCAGGTACTACTGTTGTCACCACTACCTGGAGAATGGGTCAGGACATGGACGCACAGTCATGGTTGACCAGAAACTGCTTTCATTCCTGTGGTGAAAAACATCATCACATCAGAAAAACTTTTTCACTCAGGTCCTTTCTTGCAATCCCTGCAAATATTTACTAATTATATTGGTTCACTGATATTTTGCTTTCTTTTCCAGTATTTTTCTCCATGGTCCATCCATCCGACCAAGCCCATTAGGTGCAGGAAGTGAAAGGGCCAAGCTTCCCCCATCCCACCTACACTGGACTCAGACATTGTCTCCCTAAACAATCCCAGAACATGCAGCAGTAAGGGCTCGATCATTATTTAGTCATCACACATTCACCGGGAAAAAAATGTCCAGAAAAAACTGTTACTGGTTCTGAAGACAACTTAGTCAGAACTTTGGCAGCCAGCAAAAGTGAACCCCAGGAATTTTGCCTCTCTCATACAGGACATATGGCCATGCCTAGAGACATACTTTTGGTTGGCACACTTGGTGGGGGAGAATGCTACAGGCACGTAATGTGTAGAGATCAGGGATCTTGCTAAATACCCTACAACGCACAGGACAGCCACTGGCAACAGAGTTACCTGCCCCATGGTGGAGAAACTGCGTTGGTTTAAGACTTATCTCTTAAAGCCAATAAGACTATGGCAAGCTGCTGAGACCGAGCACTGCTCTTCTATGCTGGGCTCTCATGGGCTTGGAGGTCTGCCCACCATGATTTCCTATTCTGCTTTCAAGTTGATCAAAAGGCCAGAAATGTCTTGAGGGCCCAGCTCTGACTTGGCATGGGGAGGCCTCCATGATAGGAAGGTATAACCCTATGAATGTATGTAGACTGTCCCAGACACAAAGTACAAGGTCAGGGACACTGAGACAGATGGTTCCAAAATAGTGCAGCTATAATAATAACAAGCTGATAATACTAATACTAATACTAATACTAAAATCAGGACTATATAAATAATGCCAATATGTAAAGGCAAAAGCACAGTGCGGAAGTCAAGGTATAGAGTGCTTCTGATACTCCCAAGTGTGCCCTCCACCTGAAACTTGTGTGTCTCGGTTTTCTCATCTGTTAAAAATAGACACCCAGCCGGGCGTGGTGGTGCATGCCTTATGATCCCATCACTCCAGAGGCTGAGGCAGGAGGAATGCTGCGGCAGGAGGATTGTTTTGAGTTCAAAGCCAGTTTGGGCTACATACTGAGTTCAAAGCTAGCCTGAACTACATAGTAGACCCTGTCTCAAAAAAATAAAAATAGACACCTAGCCCATACCCTGGCACTCTCACAGACTGCTGTGGGAATTCACTCAGGCAAAAGTTGTGCAGTCATCACCTTTTTACCACAGGGCTGGTGTAGTCATTACTGCAATCACAATGCTGGGGCACGGGAGAGGGGAGGGGAGGCTCTGTCTCCCCAGTAAGGGCTCCCGGAGCAAGCTGCAGAAACAAACAGTCTGTGAGAGCACTCAGAATTTCTCATCTGAAAGCCTGGAAATCAGGCACCTGGCCCAGTAGGCTGGTTTCTTTGAGGCAGAGGAAGGTGGATGGAGAAGAGCCCTCACCTTCTTGAACCGAAAAGGAAACACCCGAGTTTGAAGCTGGGAAGCCTGAAAAGTCCAAGGAGGAAAAGAAAAATGATCTATCTACACAAAACCCAGGAGATGATTAAAGCCTCATAAACTCTAAAATCCAATTCGGAAAATCAAGCTGGGAGCTGGGACAAGGAGAACAGCAAGCCGGACTGTGTTGTAAAATGCAGGCTCCAAACTGCACACTAACGTTCAGAAGCTGAGAAGTGTAGTCACCGTCTGCTTTTGAACACCTAAACAGCGACGAAACATACCTCACGTCTTAAAGATCCCAGCAGCAGACATTCCTTCTCAAAACAGAAGAGCTGCCATATAATGTTTTTAAGTTACCAAAGAAAACATCTTTAAAATATTTTGTATTAATCTTTTCCCAGTGCACTTGGTTCCCCTTTCAGTTTCCTTTTGCAAATCAGTCTACAAATGGAGGCTTTTGCTGCTGGAGCAGTTTTTAAACTATAATTAGCATTTTGGCTCACACCCTAAGGTAGAAGCTTTCAGATGAGGTAACTCAAGTTTTGCTGTCTTTGCCCTTAAACAGATCTTCGCTTCCTCCGGCTTCTTTTGGGTTCAGACCAGTGCAACAGATCATGATTGTAAGTTCCATGTTTTCTATTCATTCTACATGTTGAAGACATTTTCTGCAGTAATGATTATTTTAATACTTTTTAAAGAGCCTGCCTGGCAAGCTCAAGATCCTGAGCTGGATTCCCGGTACCAAAAAAAAATTTTTTTAAAGATTACGAATTTCCTTTTGCCAACTCTTTAAAGCCTACATTAACGAATACACTTAAATGCTTAAAGAGAAAGAAAACAAGAAAGCTGGTGTTCATTCGACCAGTGTTTTACTGAGCCCTCTTGGGGAGGAGTAAACTTACAAGTTCGTGAAACTGGAGGGGACGGCAGACAGTAAAATAAGTAGTTGCTCTAATATCTTTTTTCAGGAAGTTTGGGACGGGCTGTCAGTCAATACAAAAGGGAAGCGTGTTACAAATGCTCCTACCACCTAGCTCCTTTTTGAACACAGGCCAGCGTGACACGTCTGGCCCGTGGTTCCAGACATCCCTTCACACTCTTTGCACCCCCGACTGTACTGGCTGGCTCCCCGATTTGTTTAACAGGCTTGCAGATGGCAAAATATCATCCAGCTGCAGGGAAAAGAACTATATTGTTCTCAGTCCCAGGTGAGCACAGAAGGCTGGGGAACGGAAGGCTCCAGGAGACTGAAGCTGCAGGGAAGTCAAGGTTACCCGGCTACTGTTCAGTCACTGAATCTACCTCTCTGCACAGGGCACCTTTGTTATGGTGACCAGAACACCACAGCGAGCAAGACACTGACCCGGGAGCTCCAGTGGGGAACGGGGGTAACTAAGCAGAAATTAAGCAGAGAAAGAAGAAATACATGGCCAGTGGAACTGCTAGAAGGCTGCAGAGTGAGGGATGTGAGAGAGAATGTGCGTTGAGAGGCGGCCAGGGAAGGCCTTCGTAATCCATGTGGAGATGTGGTCAGTGATGCGGAGGCCCTGAGCCGCAAAGCAGGCTTGGCCAGGGCGGCTGGGCATCACCGGCCTGATGGTCAGAGATGCCAGAGGCCGGAACTCCCAAGCACAGGAAAGAAAAGAAGGGGTTCCCCTGGCTTTCCTGCCCATAGTGAGGAGAAGTTATTGAAGAGTCCCACGGAGAGGACTGCGGGGATTCTATTTACCTATTTAAATACCTATGTCCCTGTCTACTGTCTCACACTGGCTGCCAGAGAACAAGGGAGGTGGAAATGGTGGACAGAGGTGAACGCATGAGGAAGAAGGGAACGCGTTTTGGGGCAGTCTTAACAAGACTTGGTAACAGACTGAATTCAGACAGGAGGGACTAGGATGAGGACAACATCTAGGTCTGTGATCCGAGCAACTGTGTTGACTACCGGCCACTTTCTGAGATGTGCAAGCGCAGGGGAGGGAAAAAGTTTGGCCACAAAACCTCCCTTAGGGACAAATCAGGTGTGGGTATGTTACTAACTTTTTCTCTTTTTCTTTCTGCATCATGTGCAAAGTCAATGAAAACCCAAGTGTAAAAGGCATTTCATGTTAAGGTTTTCTAAACCGGTCACAGTGCAGTTGTCCTTTTAGTGTGTGGGTACTTTGCTGTCATGTCAGTGACAGGCTGTACTAAAAATGGGGTATGTGGTGAGAGGTTTGCTAAGAACACAGCTGCCTGTCCCTGCTTCTATGCAAGGGGAAACACTTCATGCCCTCAGACTGTGAAGGGGCAGGCTGAGCTACTCCTAGGGTCCCTGAATTCTCCTCCACTCTTTCCACCCACCTCCAGCCACCCTAGGCTTCCTCGATTCCCTGACAGAGAAGGTAAGCAACAGCACTGGCAGTTATCTGACATGTTCCAAGGAGAGGAGGTGCCCAGGCCACTGCCTGGCCCAGAGCGACTCCAGAGCAAGGACACACACACACACACACACACACACACACACACACACACTCACTCTTGCCCGAACTTACCAGGACCGATTTTCTCCAAAGAAACCCGAAGCCAGCCTGGGGCTTCCTACTTTGTTTCTTGCCTGGGCTCCCCCACTCTAGCCCTCTACCCCAGCCCCGTCCAGTGTGAGGCTTCGGGGTTCCCTGGCTGCACCCCATCCGCAAGCCCGGAAGGCGGGAGGAAGCAAGGCGGCGACTGGAGGAATCGCCCGCGTCCCCTGCACCCCCAGAGCCGAGCCCCACGGTGCCCGGGCCCAGACCACCCCTGCCCGAGCACGCGGCCGCGGAGCAGCGGCCGGGGCTGCACGCAGGCCGGGGGATGGGGTCCG